TGTTAGGATATTTAATATGATGGTTAGAGTGTTTTGAAATAGTTGGTATTGTTAAATAAGGAATTTAAATGTTATGGGTACTTAGAACCTAAAGAATTCAGGGTTTATCTAGGGTGATAATTGACAATTGTCATTTGATTATATAGATTGAGTATTGCTTCAGCTTCATCATGCATATAAAATGTGTGGAGTTAACGTTGACCCACGATAACCCTTTGTCTGACAAAGGGTTGAGGTAACGGAATAATTTATACTAATTGATTGTATTGCTTAACTATTTGTGAGTAGATATGTATATTTATTTACATATGTTTCAAAAGCTTGGCATGTTGTGAAAGATAATTTCCTTTATGTATTAGAAACTACTTTTGAAATAATAAAGATTTTTGAGTCCTTGTGTGAAAAAGATAGTGATTTTTTATAATTGTGTGAAATGTATGGAAAGTATGAGCATGATCATGTTAGGAGGTAGGAGTTTACCTATAGGAAGGAGTAGTAAAATCCATATGACATTTATCTCCTTAGTGTCTAGTGAGGCACAGTGTTGGATATTTCTCCTTAGTATTCATGCGGGATACCGTGTTGGAGATCGACGCTCCTTAGCATTAGTAATATGGTATTGGAGTAATGACACCCCAATTCTTGTATGATAGGGGGAGACCACAGTCTAAAAGTAAGATAGGATGCCTTTGGCTAAGTAATCTTACCATTGAGCTTAGATCATTATGAATGGGCACTTGGTTTAAGAGCTTGTGGTTTCAGTCAAGGTGATATGGAGGATTGGATGGTAGAATGATCATGCTAGTGGTAAATGACTTGTGTTTATGAAAAGGAATTGTTAAATATGTTAGAGAGTAAAAGAAAAATACTATATTGAACTATGTTAAAGTATGTTTTAGTGCTTAATAGCTTTACTCCCTTATGATTGTGCATGTTAATTAATAGTAGTAAATTATTCTATTACTAAGATGTTTATCTCACCCCGTGGTTATATTTTACAGGTGATAACTTTGGTAGGGGCAAGGGAAGAAAGGGACGACTAAAGAGTGAAGAGCATTATTGTATAGCTCTTTCCTTTCTTTTTTTTTGGGTTTGTAATGAATATTGCTATTATATAATACCAACATAGAAATATGTGTATAAGAATATGTAAAATGTGCATATCTTGGCTCAAGATTGATGTTGTTGTGATTAAATGAGTGTGCTTGGCCAAAATACATTTACAAGTGATTTATGCATCAAAATGACCAAATCGATATATGTGTTAAGTTTTATCTATCCCTTTATGTTGTTGCGAATTAGGGTTTGGTTGTCATTTTGAGTATCAATGCTTACTTGTGTGATATAATTAACTTGTTATGTTGTGTGTGGTCCATTTGAGGTAGTCAAAGTGATTCCATAACTAATGGCAATTGATAATGTGTTTTGGACACCTTTAAAAGTGTTTTGAAGTGAAAACAAACCATTTTGGGTTTAGGTTTTTATCTTTTTAACGATGATTATTTGAGTGTGAGATTGATGCCATTAGTTAGAGGGCTCGAAGAGTTATGTATAAACACTTAAACCACTTAAATTGGATGTCAGATGGTGAAATGATGCATTTCAAGAGTTCAGAATGCTGTCATGATAACAATCTATTGTCATGACAATAGATGCATACTGTGGCGTAAATGCTTGCAAAGGGACTCGTCCCTTTGTGCCATCCAAGCAGCGAGTAAGGCCTGCATTACGGTAAACGGGCTAGTTTTTAGAAAAAATTTCATATTTTATTATCTTATTTTCAGAGGCTTATGGTTTTCATGCTTCTATTATCATATTTGATTGATTTCAAACTATAGTTTAAGCTTAAACAATATTTTTTAAAGAGTTTTCTTGGGATCCCATTGTTTAAAACTAATTACCTTTTAAAACATTAGGTTGTGATAACTCTTGGGATTTTATTTAATCTTGGTTATCATAATAGCGTGTAAGAGTGTTGTCCTGGTAATGTCAAGGTGGACATTACATTCTGTGCATATGAAATCTCCTTATATTCAAATACTCATTTAACAGTTTGAAGCCAGTCTATAAACTTATCTAGCTAGAGTCTTCCCTCAAATTTAGGAATGTCTACCTTGATGTCATTAAAATGAAATTGTTGTTCTCGTGGATGGCGACGGTTGTCAGAGGATGATGAATTGTTGCTCCTCGAATCTCCTTTTAGGTTTTCTCTGTTATTGTTTAACAGAGTTCACTGCATTTTCATAGTAGCTTCCAACTCTCGTATCCTTTGTCTCATCTCTCCATCTCAACTTGTGCACACTCTTGCGCCTTGGAGGCATTTTGATAGGTGTTAAGGTTAGGATAAAGAATTTCTAGAAAAAAATTAAGGTAAGTAGAAATTTTGGTGGATTTAAGGGAAAATAGGAAATGTTGGAAAGATAAAGGAGTAAATGGAAATGTTGAAAGGATACAGGGGCAAGATGAGGATTTTGGAAGTTTAAGGAAAAAATCAGGATTTCAAAAAATATAGGGGTAAAAATGGAAGTTTTAGAAAGCATTAGGGTCAAAGTGTGTTTTTGGAAAAATATAGGGGTTAAAATGAAATTTTAGAAAGTTTAGAGTCATATGGAAATATGAAAAGGTTAAGGGTTCAAACTATATATTTAAAAAATATGGCTGATTGGGGTAGGATGACGTGGCTTTATGACACATGGTAGATAATGACTAGGTTGACTTGTTGTTGACTAGTCAGAACGCTGACGTGTTAGGTGATGTCATCATCTTCAACTTGCAAATGGCACGTGCGACGCATGTACTGACAGTGAGGTGCGTGGAACTTTGGTAGGTGGTGCATAAGGGCGCGTGCGATGTTGTACGGTTACAAGGAACCTCCTATTCTACTTTTTCGAACCTCTTTAGTAAGATGGTGATATAAGTTTTTGAAAAAAATGCCTGGATTGCAAAATGTGAAGACGTCAGGGACTCCTTCTCTAAATTTCTCTTCTCCAACATAATCCTCCAGATGTTCCTCACTCTCTCGCTTTCTGGACCAACACTGATACCAAAATGGCTTAGAAACTGAGTAGGAAACAAACTCTTATTTAATGCTTTCAATCTAAGATCCAGTACACAGAAACATTATGCTATTTATATTATTCTAAGTCTAAAACAGAGCAAAGGAAGTAAATGGCAAGTTACAAATGTTTTATCATTTGTGTTAATAATGGTGACCTAATAGATGATGGTTTCTACTCTTTCATACATTTCTTTCGTTTCTTCATTACCATTGTTCCGTTTCAGGGAGGGATTGGAGCATTGAGTCCATTTCGGACTCAATTTCCCTCCTCCCACCCTCCCCTCCTTCAAACCCCATTAAATTTGGACCATCCAAATTTAAATTTGAAATTTAGACCTTCTAGATTTAATTTTTTATTTTATATATTTTAAAATAAAAAATTATACAAATTTTAATAAATTTGTTTACCAGTTTGGATAATTTAGATTTCATACGAATAATTCATATTCAATTCATAAAAATTATAAAAAATTTAATATTAAACCTATACTATTCAAAATATATTTAAAAAGTCAATTTATAAAGTATTTAATATTAAATATGAACCATTTATATTAAATTTAGACTATACAGAGAAGTGAACAAATTTATTAAAATTTTTTTATATTAAATATATTTAAAAAATTAATTTATAAAATATTTAATATTAAATATGAACCATTTAATTTAAATTTTGACTATATAATCAAGTAAATAAATTATTAAAATTTTTAAAATTTATATAATTTTGATTTTAAAATAAAAAATATTAAATTTGAATCATCTAATAATTTGGGCAGTGGGGTGGAGAGGAGTGGAGAGGAGGGATTCCCACCGACTCCGTCCATTTCATGGCATTGACTGTGACTTGAGAAAATCTTTGCGTTGATTGGTCATCAAAGTCGTCCTTCATACCAACCCACTTCATTAACACCCAGTCACTTTCCTCACACGGTTTCCCACAATCTTTCTTTTTTCCCATGACACGGTTTCCACAATTGATTAATAAATATCCTTTCTTTGAGTCGTTTCTTTTGGAAAATTGATAAACAAAAACCTTGTAAAAGAATTAACGTGAAATTATGATTTCTTCACAACTAAATTTCTAAATTCAGTAATCCTTCTTCCATTTTGCAGTAACTAAATTTTTAAAAAACAATTATCAAAAGCTTGTTTGGTTTCTGTTTTTAAAAACAATATTTTATTTTTAAAAACAAAAAATTTGAAAACTTATTTGATTGAGTATTTTGAATTTAATTATTTTAAAAAATGCTCTCATTTTTTATTTAAAAAAAGACATCTTGAAAATATTTTCATTGTATTTTCTTGTTTTCAAAATACATTATATTTGATTATTAAAAATTATAGTTATCTTGACTAGTAATTATCATAAGTTACCACCGTTAATCGTCAATCACCATCACTGTCAATAATTTTTTAATTCTAAAATTGTTTTTAAATTAACACAACTAAATATGTTTTCTTTTTGTTTTGTTTTGAAAAATAATTTTAAAAAATGCATTGCAAAAAAATTTTTAAAAATAAAAAATGAGAACATAAATCAAACAGGCCTAAGTTTTCATATTTGATTAAGTCCACTGGCATTTAGACAACATAGCTAAGAAAATTGTGTGTTTGTGTGTGAATCACACCGTTTATAAGTCTGCAACTATGTGAAAGAAAGGTGCGTGGTTGCGGCGTGTCCTGTAATTCCTGTGAACGACAGTAATTGAGCTCCAACGAGTCGAAGACTTTCAAATTCAATGAATCGATCATATACCTATCATATCAGTTTACCCTGACCAATACGATTTTCATGTCTCTCACAACGTCAACAAACTTTCCTAGCTCTTTTCCTTTCATTTTCTTAAGTAAATTATTTCTTCAATTTCCAAAAAGAATAAATGGTCCTATAAATTTGTGAACGACCTAGTCTTGATGAATATGCACTTGAGAACTTTCGTTTAGGTACTTACTTAGCTTGCTTCCTATTTCTCAGCTTCAATGTCGAAACTAGGAAATGAAAAGATCAGTTGGATATTGAGTGTGGTGTTCTGCTTCTTCTTGTCTTCGGTGCTTGCTATGGCCACCACTGGCGATGGTGGATTTGCTAAGGAACTTGAGGTTGAGAAGATTTTGAAGACGTTGAATAAACCAGCTGTTAAGTCTATTAAGGTATACAATTTAACTTCAACACTATTCAACCTTTTTTAACTTCTACTCTAGGTCTGTGTATGCATACAATTTGGCTTCTACAGCTTAGTTTCTGTTTTAAATATCTAATTTCTTAAAAGTAGTTTTTTCAAATTTTTTTTTTCCCAAAACTAGATATGTAGAAAGTTAGTTTGGGTCTTTTCTATCCATGTTTGAGATGTTGGAGGTGAAGAACGAAGACGACCTTTTATGTGAAAAATTAAAGATATTAAATCGTTTCTTATGTATTTAGCAGTTAATGTTTGACATTATTGTCAAATAGCACCAAAATTAATAAAAACTAGATTTTACAGTAAAGCACAACCTAGATCGTTTTTCTAAAAGTCAATAGAGTAACTATTTAAATTATGATTATGAAAAGGTAAATAATGGGGGGTTTTTTATGATGAAATTAAAAACAAATTAAAATTAAATAAATAGAGGAAACTCAACTAAGAAAATTATCAAAAACAAGCAGTGCAATCAACACAACCCAATCACCTAAATTTAATCTTCCTCATCTGCAAATTAAATTAATTTTATTTAACTTTATTATTCTGATTTTATTATTTATTTCTCAAATCATCATTCAAGAATTAAACAAGAAATTAAGTTATAGATTAATTGAGATCTCCTTTAACCCACAACCTAACAACTGTTTTATGTTAGCCACACCAAAAATAAAGCATGAGTAATCACTCAAGCCAAGCCAAATTACTCTGAAGTTACTATATCAATCGATGATAATAAGTAAAACTTCAGATACAATTTATAACCCAAAAATTATATAATAAAGATACTCTAATTAGCAATAACAGTTAAATCATAAAATTCAGAGGTAGAGAGAAGAAGAACAAATTGAAATAAAGCTAGAATAAAATTTTTTCTGAATATCAAAGACTCTGATTAAAATTTAGGATCATAATTTATGATTGATCATACTGAAAAAATTAATTATTTATAAAACTAAAAATCAAAAAATATGAGATAAAAAATTAAAAAGCCATTATTGGAGGAATTGAAAAAAAAGTGAACCGCGATCGAAGCTGGCTGGCAGGTATTCTATAATTTCTTCCAAATCACACGTGCGCATGATGGATGAATACATTTTTATACAGTTTTTTTTCCCCAACAAATACTACTTTTTGTCCATCTAATTCTCTTATTTACTGTTTCCCGATCTTGAAAATTAGATCTACCCAGGAATATATGGGGATGACAACCCTAGACTTTTTACATATTGGACAGTAAGTTCAAATTTCTTACCAGCATATGATTTCTTGTTTCATCAAGCCATTGTATTCGTGTTGTTAATAATTGTTTTATTACTTTTAATTAATATATACCTTTTTCATCCCACAGAGAGACTCGTATAACAATACTGGATGTTATAACCTTCGTTGCCCTGGCTTTGTTCAAGTTGATCCCACAGTAGTGGTGGGAAGCAGCCTACAAAATAATATATCTGTCTATGGTGGTTCTCAATATGTTTTATCCATCCACATCAGGAAGGTATTGACTATTTACTAATTCCCGCTTAAAGTTAAACTTGGTGTGACTTAGGTCCTCAAGTTTTATACATTTAATCCATTGGTCCCTACACTTTTTACAAATGAATCCCCCAGAAAACTAGATATCAATTTCTTCTTCCTTTAATTCGTTTGTGAGAACATATACTCCTTGAGAAATCCAAACAATTCAAATCACCAATAATAAGCTTCAAAGAATCTCTAATGGCACAATATCATATGATTCTGCTATAATTTGGTATAATAATAATAATAATAATAATAATAATTTTAATGATTGAGCAGGATCAAACAACTGGAAACTGGTGGATGCAAGTCGGGAATACATCTGTAGGATACTGGCCAGCTTCTTTGTTCAATCACATGTCTGTGGGTGCATCACATGTAAAGTGGGGTGGTGAAATAGTAAACAAGGGATCTAATGGGCAACACACCACAACAGGCATGGGAAGTGGCCATTTTCCTGAAGAAGGTTATGGGAAGGCTAGCTTTTTCAAGCACATTTCTATTGTTGATGCAAATAATAGTCTTGCGTCTCCTAAAAGCTTTAACCCCTACGTTACCAATGCCTATTGCTACAATATTACCTCTTATGACTATTCAAATGATTCGGGTGTCTACTTCTACTATGGCGGTCCTGGGAGAAACTCAAATTGTCCGTAGCCCTTGTAATCTCATCTTGGGTGGCAAATATAAGTCGGAATAAAACAATATGAGGGCTTTATTTAAAAAGTCCGAAACTCTCTATTTATATCAAGAAAATAAAGGAATTGTGGTATGGGTAGAATTCCCTAGCCTGATGGGATATTGTATGAGATAAGGCTTGATAAAACAAGTCTTAATAAGATTGAAATATTATGTAGTGTTATATTATGCAATGTTATATTGTAGCGTATTTGTTATCCTATGTTTGATTATGTTATATGATACTCCTCTGGTCTTATTTATAGGGCAGAGAGAAAAAATTGATCATATTTATAGGGCACTTGTCAATTCCCAATGCTCCTATTTATATTTTTGTTCTTATTAAATGTTTTAAATAAAAATATCAATAATGAGATTTAAGAACATTTATAAGGGGTACATGTGAAAACTTGTTAAATTTTAAGACAAAGTTAATAAAATTTAAGATTTTTTTTAGTTCCAGTGAAACATGTTGGAAGTAACTTATAAATAGGACCAGAGTGAGTATAATTGTGGTGGAAAACATATTTCTTTCGACAAACAATTGCTTTAATTAACATGTTGTATAAAATGCAGAAGCTCCATATATATATATATATATATACATATATAATGTGATTGAGTGAAGAGAGACTAGAAAGTGGTATATGTTAATCTAAAGGCACTTGAATACAAAATTTATGAAATGCAAGTAGGACAGCACTGTACTGCTAGAATTTGAGATTTATAGAAATCTAAATGATTAATAGATATTAATTAAATATATTGTTTTCCTTATCGAAGAAAAGAAATCCTGTTCCTTCAAGGTAACTGATGTTGCCGAATTGATGAGAATCGAAGCTAGTCGCCACTGTACACTGACTTGGACTTTGTAACAGTACCTAGGGATGTGAGCGGAAGCACGTAATGGATGTAGAGGATTGTGTCCATTATTTCATGGCACTGAATGTGACTTGAGAAAATCTTTGCGTTGATATTGAGGATTAATTAAACATGGTGACCACTACGCACCCCAACAATAATAAAAGCCTAGCATCATTTATTGTACTATGGTGCAATTTTACCAATAAAATATAAAAAATGGTACAAACATTGATTGTCAGTGCCAAAATAAGGAATAATACAATTTTTAAATCTTCAAGTTTGTTTTAATTATTGATTTGGTCTTTTAAATTTAATTTATAATAAATAGTCCTTTATGTTTATTTTGATTATCAATTTGATTTTTATTGTTTAAAATAGAGGATACACTATTAAAATGTATTGACTTGAATAACTAAATCGATGGTAGCCATACAAATTAATGAAAAGAAATATAATTATTTAGGTAGGTAAAAAACAAATTCTAAAATTTAAAAAAAAAAAAAACAGGATAACAAAACACATTGTAAAGAATCATATTGATAAAAATTAAACTCATTTGATAGTTAATTTGTTCTCATTTATCTTCGTATGTATGCTATATCATTAATATACTTTACACATTAAATTATTTTAAGAGTTAATTCGTATTTTAAAATTTAAAGGACTGACATGATAATTTAAAAAAATATAAAAAATTAAATTGATAAAAATTAAACTTAAAGAACCAAGTCAGTAATTGAGAAAAATTTGAGATACTAAATGTTTCTTTATCCCTTAAAATAATTAAAATTTTGTTTGAATTGAAGTGTAAATGAAGAAATACATATGTTCTTTATCAAAATTAGCACAAATCTTAAAAACAATTTTTTATTTTGTCACACTTCATATTCAGGAGGGGAGGGAACTAGATGGTTTGAAATAACCTGGATAGCAAGGAAAAGAGAGAGGCAAGAGTCAGGGTAGCTTCAACATGGGTTCTGAATCAAATTGTGTTATATGGCTATGATGCATGACCAAAAAAAAACATGTGCGCTCATGGTTAGTTTCTACCGCAATTAAAACAAATTTGAACACATGTATTTTCATGTCCGCCCTTCGAGTTAAATAAAATATCAATGTTGCTAATATTCACGGTCAACATTTTCTAACATATACTTTTGCTACGGATTGGAGATTTTTGAATCGTTTTTAAAAGTAATAGATAAAATTGCACCATGGTATATTATTTTATGAATATTTTTGCCTATAATCCATTTACACAGGCATAGTATGTAGGACTAAGGATAGAGCCAAAAAATTTTATTAGAGGGCTGAGATGACAAAACAGATTTGATAATTGAAGGAGAGTTATATATATATATATATATCCCTAATATAATATAAATATTTCAACGTATGTTTTTACTTAAAGAAGTTTACATTAATCAAAAGAGAAATACAAGATCTGAGGACCTACATTATCATCTGCAACCGCCCCCTAAAGAAGAGGTGGGGGGAGATCATAAGTACAAAAATTTGAGTCTAAATTATGCGCTAAATGAGCAAGAAAGTCAGCAGAAAAGTTATGGTTCCTCCTAACATAGTGAATCACAATATTTCAATCTCTATCATAGAGCAATCTAGCATCCTCTATAATGTCTTGGAAAGGATGCTCCACAATTGACCCGTACTGAATTAGCTTGATAGCTCGAATACAATTGCTATAATTCTCCAACTCTCTAATTGCAATCACTACTAGAAAAAATTAGATTAGTGAGGAAACTTAGCAAGGACTTAATTATTTTTCTCTAAATGGCTGTACTAGCGATAAATTTTGAGAGGAAATTTAATTTCCTCTCTAAAGAAATATTTAGTGAGAAATAACATGTTCCTCTCTAACTTGTCTAATTAGCGAGGAATATCATTCCTCTCTAAAAATTTAATAGCAAAACAAAATAATAATAAGAATTTAAATGTTTTTAACTTGTATTTATTTTTGTAGAAAAAGGTACCTATTTTACAAAAAAATAATATTTTATATTTCTTATATATAAATTTTTTCTAAAAAATTATAATGTCATATATAATTTTTTTAAAAAAATTTAAAATATCATATATCTATATAATTGTTTTTACTTTATAAAATCTTTTATATAAAATTTGTTTTTCTGAAAAATTATATTCCCCCCAATCTCATAAACCCAATCGCAATCCCTCCAATTTATTTTTTAACCCAATCCTATTTCCTCCAATTTTTTTCACACAAACCCTAACCCTACCCCGTCCCATTCACAAGCTCCACCCAAACTCTAAACCCAAACCCTCCATCATGAGCTCCACTAAAAACCTTATCCTTTTAAATCTATAGCAATGCAAGCATGCTAGCGTGAGAGTGCTTCTCTATCATCATTCCATCAACTGTTGCATCGTCACTATTTACCATCTTCATCATCATCCCTGTCGTGGTTGTAGCTGCCAGCACCATTCGAGTGGCCGAAGATCAGAATGATTCTTCATGATCAGGTTTTTTGTTCTTGTATATTTCCTTTCCTCTTCATTCATTTCTTAGTCCCTAGGGATTATGATGTTTACACGCACACTAGTATTACACGATTAGCTTCATTTTGGTCAGAGGCTTTTCAGATTGCTTACAATCACTTGGTCGGTGATGTTCCAGGCATTCGAGACACTACCATTTCTAAAATTGCTTATATATCACTGCGTTCTTTTGATTTAGACATCCTTCCTCTTCAATCAGAGCTGATAAGATAAGCTAGGCCAAGTTCTTCAATTCTTCACAAGTCCTCTATCTCATCAAAATTGCTAAGCTTCAATTATTTTGTGCTTTCAGCTTTCCCATTTTTTCTTTCTGCCTTAAGTTGTTTAGAATTCTCAAGATTCTCCTCTTTCCTTGATGATTGATTCCTTGCACTTAAGCAATGTCAGCTTGTATTCCATATGTCAATTTTTTCTTTGGTCATAGTCTTTGTCTTTGAAGTTCAATTTCTTTATTGTGTTATTGATGAGGACTTTTATGGCAACTAGTATGTTATCTTTTGTTGCTTGATATACTTTTCATGATGTAACCTATCTTGTTTTCAACTGTGTCAAAGTATTGTTAATGAATGCTTTAATTACTTGGTGAGTGATGATTGAGAGTTACATAATCCATGCATCGATTACAATTAGGATCCAGTGACTCTAACTAAGCAACTTAGTACCTTAGTTATAACCTTGGGGAGTGAGCACCAATGATTACAAATAGAAGTTATGGTTAATGATGAATAAATCTATTATATTAGAAACTTATGTTCTATTTTAGGCTAATAACTTGATTAAATGCTAACTTGTGTTTATGTCCCTTTATGAATATGGCATTTTGTGCAATAATTGCTACTCAATGGGTTTGTCTCTCATATTCTCTTAATTTTTTGGGGTTGAACTTATTGAAACAAAACACTTGTTATCTAATATAGTGGAAGTCTTATATGGTGGGTTTATCATATACAGGAGAGCTCAAGCGCCACGTTTAAAGGAATGGTCCTCTAGAGTTGATGTTCATGACATGCTGCATGAACTAATGGGTTGCTATTCTTTTATACTCTTGCAATTAGCAGTTCTGCATTGATGTGGTAGGGAAATGTATGAGGCTTTAAGATTCTTACTTTTTTGTTCTAAAATTAGAGTTAGTTGTAACTATTTTCTTTGTATACCTATGTCATTGTGTTGGCATAACTTGCCTATTGAGAGCTAAAACATCCAAATCTTTTGATCGATGATTCCTTCATATTTTGACAGCATGTAACTGTTGTGTTGAGCTTAACTCTATTATGCTTGAACATGGCTTAGAATAGAAGCAAGAGGAATAAGATTTTGACATTTCATCATCAATGCAGGCATTAGTTCATTCCTCTATTCAATGGTTCAAGAAAAAATTTATGAATTGAATTCTGGCTGGTGACCTTGAAGATTCAACCAAAAAAGAGGTTACTCTATGTTTTGATTTCTTTTACCTAAACATTTGTTGGTTATTTACCTCAATTTTGACAATTGTTTGTTCTATTTTAATGTTGCAGAATGGTATTTCTTACAAGGTTGCATGGAGGTTATTGAAGGTTTGTTTTTAGACTTTTGAAATGAGTCACTTTTTTCTTTAGTTGCTATTACTTTCTACTTTTTAATTGCACTAATATTTAGCTTTGGGGAGTTAATGGTGTCCTTGTTCCTAGAGGATTTAGAGACAGAGTAATGCAAGGGAAAATTCTTGTTGCTGAACATACCTTGGCAACTAGAATAACCAAAGTAGAGTTTGGAAGTTGATCAATTATTCCTTGAGTTTGTCCCTTATTACTCCATACTTCTTATAATACTGTATGATTTTTTATATGGCTAATGGATTAAACCACTTATGTTATATACTTTAAATTCCTTATGTAGCT